GCCCTTCGAAAAATTCTGCCCATCGTCCAAGACGTCGATGGATGTTAGTGATTGGCATCCCATCATCCTCGCAGATTGTTTCACTCACACCAGACTTCTTGCTGCCAGTGGCTCGGATGAGTTGGAAGAGCTTCCGGTAGTTACCAGATGCAGCTGCTGCTTCCAGCTCATTAGCACGCATCGACCACCAGGCTTCTCGGTCCTTACGCAAGCTTTGCCCAATTTCCTTACGTAACATCCTTCGTTTATGGTCAAACTCACGGTCACCCGGAGTAGACCGACGGGCTTCAATGAGTTGTAAGGAACCAGAAGAAACCCAGTGCTTAAAGCGGGACGTTTCGCAAACCCACAACTGACTGTTCCCGCCATTTTCATGGCGTCATGCAATTGCAACCAATGCTCATCTATACTTTTCGGTGGAGTGGTAGCTAGCCTAGAGGCTAGCTCGGTTCGATACTTACTTGCAACAGAAGTTGCAACCAGCTTGCTAACATCAATCCGTTGATGGCGGTCACTTCGTTGTCCACTGAAAAGTAAGGCAAGATTGGCGCAGACCAAGGCATGGTCAGAGTCCAGATAGGTACTCCAAAAGGAGCGGCAGTCTTGTACACAACCACGCCAGCGGTAGCTGATCGCGATGTGATCAATCTGAGTCCAGGCTTGAGATGCAGAGGGAGGACGCCAGGTGGCACATCGGCGATGACTGTGCCGAAAGTTAGTGCTAGCCAGAAACAGGTTGTGGTCTGTGCAAAGTTGCAGTAGACGGTCCCCGTTATCTGACCTGCGACCAACGAGTCCCCATCGGCCACCTAAACGACTCTCTTCTGTGCCTAGACGCCCGACCTGAGCATTCAAGTCTCCGGCTAGTACTACAATATCTGTCGAACGCACTTTCTGGAGAAGAACAGATAACTGGTGGTAAAACTCATCCTTGATTGCATCCGGGCTGCAATCTGTCGGGGCATAGGCGGAGATGACGAAAAGACATCGTTTCTCACGCCGATTTCTTCTCACTTTGATGGAACTTTCTAATCTAACAGCACATAACCGACTGTTAATGGGGATCCAATCGACTAGTGCTGCCTCAGCTCTAGCGCTTAGTGCGACACCAACGCCAGCAAGACCAGACGAAGATGCCACAGGGTCCCCGGATAAGCGCACGTAAAACAAGCTTTTCGAAGCGACAGATGGAGATCGAATTTGTAGTACTTCACGAGTCTTGAATACGGGTCTCGGATAGACAAAAATATCGATATTAAGACTTTCCAAAGACATAGCCAGCCCTATCTGTTGTCCGACCTGCATAAATGTGCGAACGTTGAAGGCAGCCAGTTTGAATGGTGCACGTGGTTTCAGAAAAACTGCTTCAGTATTCGCATTCGGTGGTAACATGCAATTTTCAACCAGGCAGTGACTCGAGAACGTTTAGAAAGAACCGAGTTTCCACCATAGGCGAGCTGCTGTATAAGTCGAAAATTAAGGATACATAAAGTGGGAATAAAAGAGAGTGAATAAATGACGTAATAGTAATGATAACAATAATAGTAATAATAATGTGAATCGTTTGATTGTTAATCGAAGCAAGAAAACTATTTTCCATAATTATCAACAGTTCATCATATTTGTGTGTGGGCTGTGATAATACCCGGGTTCCCAGACCTAAGCAGGTGGTTTTCTCAAGGGGCCACACCCCGAGCCTTTGACCTAAAGGTCTAACCCATAAGGCAGTGGAGCATCGTAATGAGATGCAGTCCCATGGTAGCCGGTGACCAAAAATTGGTTCATATGTTATTTGTTCCCACAGGATACTGCAGCCCATACGCACCATGAGTTTGAGATCCGGTTAATGCGCCGGACATTCGCTTTTCGTCCTCTTAATTTCGTAAACAACACCCCCGCCACGAGAAGGAGGTGAGTAGAACTTCCCTGGTAGAGGCTGTATACGCGTGGACATGTGAGAGCATTTCGAGAGGGAGGGCGCGCCCACCCCACTCTCGGCCGTACCAGGGCACTTGGGGGCAGTAGCATAACATCCCTCTTTGCTGATTGGTTGGATTATAATAATAATATGTATAAATACCCATGATTTTCTGAATATTTTGATTCTTACACAACAAGCACTTCTCCGGTTTTCTGTTTTTGATTTGCGACTGTAGGGGTTCTATACGCTCAAGAGCCGTAGTTGTATACTGTATTCCGTGTTAATCAAGTAGCGAACTTAACAAGTAGTTGCAATGATTTAATACTATATGGCGAAATATGAAGTCGATAAATTTATTTGTTCCTCCTAACTAGTTCTGGAAGACAACCATTTTATCTACGTTATTCTTTAGATAAGATGTTAAGTAAGAGTAAGCTTTCGATGAATCATTACTGAAGTAATACGATGAATTTATACAAAGAATGATAAATGGTTGATTTTCACCCCAACAATCCTATGGTCTTTGTGTGTGTTTGAATACCATAAAACATCATTATAAGAGCTCAAATTTATCATAGAGTAGTCATAGAATACTCTCTTTATCACCTTATCTCAATACCTTTACCTAGTAGAAAAACTAAGGAGAATAAAATAAAATCATGAGGACAACATACACAACAGTACATTTACTTGAATTGTATTGAAACAATTGAGTTCGTCACTAACCATCATAATTTTGATGTATCTACAACTGTTTGAACACCAATTCGTAATTAGTGTCATGATTGTCAAGTCCCTCTTAGTGCTGATCGAGTTCTATCATAAAAGCTGTAATGTTATCATTTAAGTGACTTGAAGTTACGTACGCTAAGTTAAAATGTGAAGTGGCAGTTGGAGAGAGTCGACAAGAAATTCTTAACCTATGTTCCATGATATCTGAAACTCGTCAGAAAGAGGTGACTGTAAACTGAGAAAGTGATGCTCTACGACGAATTCAATCGAGTGCCACTCAGCTTCAAAACCAAATCGTTGCTAATGAATGGCTCCTAGATAGATCAACATCAACATCTCTGATTGTAAAGCTGGGTGACACTCGATCGAATTCACCAAAGAGTATCACTTCCTTTGATATTAAGGGCACATCTTGCTCACAAGTACCAAATAGCACAAAACCTAATTTCAATGTTTCTTGTCAATTACCTCCAATTATCAACTTACATTTGATGTATTCATATATATCTGCAGATGTTATATAGAGATTATGGATAGTTATATTAATACGAAGATATTTTTCCATTAGTTGTTTTCATAAAAATGCTTGAACTCATTTATCAGGCCAGATTTTGGAATTCTCCAAATTTTAAATCTCTGAATTTTTTTAAGTATATTTTTATTGTTTAATGACAACACTAAGATAATGATATTTCAAATGAGCATAAAATTGAATTTTTGACCCTTTCGTTCATTGCGATAAGACAAACATATCATTATTTTATGATTAAAGACATATCCAATGCTCAATTTATATAAAATTAAAATTAAAACCCCTATACTAGTAATCAACATGTGCTCACTAGTGACTAGCTTCGTGAGGGAATTCTCAGAGTTCTAGTGAGAAGCCGTGACCAGTGGAGCTAATCCGTGTCGGGTAGAGACAGGTATCTACCTCAGTACAACGGAAGTTGGTCGCGCAATTTCGTGAATTGGTTGATGTTAGAAACTATCACCATTGGATGCCGGCTCAGTGTTCCAGTTGGTTAAGCGTTCATGCGTGAGACCGAAGGCCCTGGGTGAGAATCCCGCGAGCGGGATCGTGGATGCGCACTGCTGAGGAGTCCCACAATAGGGCGAAACGGCCGTCCAGTGCTTCCAGGTATTCAATTGTGGTGGTCTAACATCAATCGGTTCATGATCTCAATTAAAATTATTCAGTCCAACCTTGATGATATCACTTATTAATTTAAATACAATAGTGTGCTGTTTAAATTACTTGACTTAAGGTTAATTTAATACAAAGATCTTCAAACATTTTTAGTAGTCAACATCGACATGATGAGTTCATCATAGTCATTGACTGTATATATAAGCTTGAGTTTCAATTAGCTACATTTTTTTACATATTCATATAAGATAGATTTCATTTTGGTCAATAACACTTGATAACAACATCTCTAAAGCTGGATTGACTTTGTTGAAATAATTCTTATTATCTTTCTCTATAGTTTTTCAATAAAATCAACTTGTGTCTGATGATTTGAATGATCAGTGATTCTTTATTTTGACAATAAATATGAAATTAGCTAGTCTGAGACAATATATAATATTTCTTCTTAACTCGATTGAATAAAGTCAACCATTCATGAGATAGACTATATAGATTAATCGGTATCAATCTCATCTGAGTGGAAATGGTTGAATAATTATCAGAAGACGATGAGACTATAATTTATGGACAGCTTTTAGGCGACGCTAAAGTGACCTTGAGAATGTCCATTTACTAATTACGGCTTAATGAGGGCTACATACTAGTGTGAGGAATTAAGCTTATGATTTGTAGCTGATGGTTATGGTTCAAAACTAGATTTAGAATTTTTATCACAAACTGACAGCAGCTAATTAGCCAAAATGCTATTTAGCCGAGTGGATGAATTTATTTTGCCCCGAAATAGAAGACTAGTTCTTCTGAATCTGATTAGATCGACCAAAATTTATAGTCCCGCCCAGAAGACCAGTGTCGCCATTTTATCCAACATTTACTACGGGAATGTGAGAAATTTATTGGACATAAATGTAGTTTGCCAGTATTCGGTCATTTTACATTCATAAATGTTACTTGATATTAAAGTGAGGTTGTAATGAATTAAAGTTCAGCCACTAGACATTGCAAATTTCAAGAGTCATACGCACTTTTTAGACTTATATATAATTAGCGTTATTGACACATAAAATTGATTTTGAAACAAAAATAAAATATGGGAGTTCCACATTTATAGAGGCTAACAAAAACATGTTTAGTCTTTTACAACACATTCTATTTAATATTGTAGTATCATTTAGAAAACAACTTTTCACAGCTTACTTGTTCACGTCGAACTATTACCAACCATGCCGGTAAATAGCTCAAGTTTGCCCCATGATTTTTACTTTCAGTCTGCTTTTCAAAAGTTGGTAGATTCTTATCGCAACTGCTCTCTTTACAGGAAATATTAGCGGCATTTGAGTTCAATTGCTTATCTTCTGATAGTGATGTACTGTAATTTGATTTGAAATATATTGATGTTTTCGCTAAACTTATGGCTACTGCTCCATCATTAGGAATAATACCGAACCAATTTTGATGTTGATCACCTAAGGATTATAAACGATGAATGTAAGTCAACCACAAACTATTTGACATTTCAACTTGAATAAAAAAATCACAGCCGGAGACATAAACGACCTAAGACATTCATTCCCAAAGTGGGAACATTCAGAGGTCCCAACTAGAGTAAGCCCGAATCTGAGTGTGACCAAAGATCTGAAACACCCTAGTGATAGCAAACTACACTTTACCATTGATCTATTCATTCTCTATCAGTCATTGTATTAGTATATACATTTTTCTTTCTAACTATTTAATTATATTAAGCACTTGTCATGACTAACCCATTTAGTCACTAATGGAAAGATATTTTTTATTACATGTTTTGTAACAACTTTTTGCAAATAAAAATTACATCATGATTGTTTATAAACCATTTCTAAGGTGACCAATTTTTCGCATCAAAATGTTGAAGTGACTTTTTTATTTCAAATATGAATAGAGGCACAAATTACAAAAATACAATGTAATAACGACAATTATGTGCAGGTTGGTAAACGACTCTTAAAGATAAAACATGGAAATGTAAGTGATAAGATATGGTAACTGGGTATAATGTCTAAGAATCTTAAAAACCAGTATGGCCACTGCTTTGAATTCCTTGATTCGATGATATGGATTAAATGGTTTATCTAGTAGGAAAAAATTCCCTATTTTTGAAGTTTCCAAACACTAGTATACAATGGAATGAAAGTTATATTTTCCTTAATTGTATGGATACACAGTATTCAGGAATAAGGTTAATGAGGTGGTTGACCTGAGCTGTTCCTTGAATAGGATACATTTCAGAAGATTTATTTTTAATATAGAACGAGTATCAGACGTTAACGTTCTATTATGTCTATAAACTGATATCTTTGAAGTTTTAGGTGCCGCAGATTTAGTTTTCATTAAAGCCATATAAGAATACTAAATTGCCATAGTTTTCCTTTATTTCGACAAGAATTATAGAACTAAAGTTTTTACTTAATAGATGAAGGATAAAAATTTAAAACAATTGAGTGATCTCTTTTTATGTTGTTGGGTTCCTGTTAGCTGCTTACAATCTACGGTAAAACATTTTAGTCATAACAAAATTACCTGAATTTTAATTTCACCATGGTGTTGCATACACCTAATCAAAATTCCTTTTATGTTAACTTTAAGGTGAATCTGACTGAAAAACATTATGGATTTTAAGTAGCCAATTGGAACCTAACGAGGTAGAAAATGTTATTTTATTCTGTCCATATCTTTGATTTACCTACTTTCACTATAACAAAAGAAGCTATAAGCACAAACTTAGTTTTGTGTATTTGTGATCAGGTATTTGCAAGACATGGAAATCATGAAGTGTATTAATTAAACATATATATCTTTAACATTTTTACTGCAACGAATTTACACACCATATGCATTATGTAGTGATTATTCTTACGAATATTCTGTTCATTTATAGCACAACGTGCTAATTTACTTTCTGCAACATAAAGCTACACGACTTTAAGTAGTGAATAATAATTAAAACTCACCACAACTAAAAATAGAGTTTCTGTAAAAACATGCACCCGAATCTCTGTATTCAAAGTCATAATAATCCATATGTTCTGCTCCTACTTGGCTAGAGCACAGTTTCGAAAAGTTCACTGTATATCTATGAGCCGGAGATAGATGGCTATTAATATTTTCCTTTCCTTCAACAATAAATTTGCTCGATTCTGCAACCAAATTGTAAATATTCTTTTTGCTTTCCTTCAGCTTCTGATCACGAGAATCAGTACTGATTTCAGATGAAGCGGGTTTCCTATGACTTGATAGGAGACTGTGACTCATGCTACGTGAATCATAGTGCAAAGTGACAAACATTTCAGAGCTTGATGGAAGATCCTCTCTCACATATTTCCTAAACGTATCTGTTGTCAATGTAAAATGAACGTCGTCTGAATTAAATAAAGGATTTAAATTCGTGAGAACACCCTTTCTTCCACTGGAGGACATACTGAATATAACCTATATGTTGTTAGTGGTCAAATCCCGTGTTGTCTTTGTAAGCATATTATTTGAACAATCAAGAAGGCGCTTGATTTCTAAAGTAAGAAGTTGTACTTTACGTTGCAAATGATGTGAACTTTGATCGTGAGGCGTTCTGATACTGTTAAATACTTGATTTTTTAAGCAATTATGTGTTGATTGGGAACATATCGAGATTTGACTCCAAATATTGAACAACGATGAATTATAATCCGAACACGTTTCAACCCTAAACAATCGGACAGAAATCACTTTTTACAAACATTCTTTAACTGCGTTATCTAAGAGTCGATTATCCAAAAGAATTCAGACGACTTCTAAATATTCCACACATTAACGCATTTCCCGATACTGATGTTTTGAAAATGCAACCTGGGTCAACGTTTGACCTTACTAGGGCAAGAAAAGCAGACGGTTATTCAAACAAACAGCGTCTAGTATAATAAACAGTATACATCAATAAATTTCAAAAACTTCGATGGATTCGCAATCCTTGATTTTGCAGTAATCTTGATGTCTTTTTGCATTTACCATTTCTGGAAATTGAAAAAAAGAAAACACGCGCTGAATACATACTTTGTACAAATGGTTCAAATGGTTGTAGATGAGATAGAAGGAGCTTTTGCATAACAAGCTTCCGTATCTAGTAGCAGGGGATCACCAATACCTACAGGCAGGAACCTAGGTATATTAACTGTAATAGATTTTTAAAAAAGGAAATTGGTAAGTCATAATAAGATGTTATCCTTAGTCCTTAAAAATAGGTCAAGTTTCCTCTTAAAGGACTCCTGGGAAGTCGATTGGACTAGTTCACTTGGCAGCGCATTCCAGCATTTGACAACTCTCAAGGAGTAGAAGTTGTGTCTACAGTCCGTTCTGCCATGTTGTATCTCCAATTTCTGGGTGTCACCCCTTAGGTTTGTACTGGGGCCAAGCTCAAGTAGGTGTTTAAGGGGATGTCCAGAAGTGTTAGGGATACTGTAAGCCGTCAGAGGGTAACCTCTAAGAAGCCTGTACTCTAGTGGGTAGAGGTCAAGTGATTGTAAGCGCTCTTCATAAGGTTTGAATTTGAGTCCCCGAACTGATTACGTGGCTCGCCGTTGGGTACTGTTCAGAGTGTCCTTATCCTTTTGAAGTAAGGGAGGAAATACTGTGTTTCTATACTCTAAATGGAGACGAATGAAACTGTTGAAGATTATGTTAAAAGTTATTCCATCAAACTGGCCAAAAATGCGCGTCAGTGTTACCAGTGCAAGGTTTGCTCGAAAGGCATTTTTGTTACAGCCGGCGTGCCACTTCAAATCGTAGGGCACCAGGACTCTCAAACCTTTTTCGACTCGAGATACTACTAGAGAGGAGTTTCTCAAGTTGTAACTGTAGTCTGCGACATGGCGCAGATGGACTACTTTACACGTCGAAGTGTTAAAGTTAAGCCTGTCGTCATTTGTTCAACTTTGAAGTCGTGCCGTATCCTCCTGAATTATCAGTATGTCCTCTTGGTTGTGTGCCTTTCTACAAAACTTTCACATCATTGGCAAAAAGTAACAAATCAGACGATACTTGTTATGAAAGATTGTTAACATAAATCAAGAAGAGAAGAGGTCCTAGAACTGAACTCTGGGGCAACCGACTATGGCATTTCATAGTCTGAGAGGTTAAGGTAACACTGGCCTTAAAATACCGAGTTTCAAGATAGGAAGTAAGCTAATCAATTTGAGGTGATTTGATACTCAATCTTTTGAGCTTATCGATAAGACACATATGTTTGACCCTATGAAAATCTCTTGAGAAGTCAAGGTGAATGATATCAACCTTCCCCTCGCGATCAAGGATGCTTGCCCGTCTGTCAGCAGGTTGATTATACAAGAGTAACTCTTCCTGAAACCATGCTGTCGAGATGAAAAAACCTAAGGATAATAAATAGTCGTGCATACCGTTTTTTATCAAAGAATCCATAATTTTGAAGGTATAGACAGAAGTTCTACCAGTCGTTAGCTTGAAGACTCGGTGTGTCGACCTCCTTCGAAGATCGGTGTGATGTGAGCCAGCTTCCAAATATCCGGTAGTGTGCATCGGCTTAGCTCGTGTATGAACATCACTGTAAGCGGTGTTGCCAGGATTGAAGCTGCTTCCGTCAGCATAGGAGAATGAACCATGTCCGAACCAGGAGGTGTCTTTTCTTAGGTGCTGCAATTTCCGGTACGACAAGTCAGAGCCTAGGTACACTATTGAAAGTCCTCCGGAAGTGCAAATGACGCTTTCATCAATATAGTTAATGTGGGTTGGTTGAAATGTCCGAGAGTATTATTCAGCCAAAAGGTCAGCGGCGTCACCGTCGTTATTGGTCGGGCCATTAGGACGTAGCAGTTGGGAAACTCCAGTTTCGGCTTGTTGAAGAGAGGCTGCATAACAGAATAAGCTTTTCGGATTAGAGACAAATTTACCGATAAGCTTTATCTGGTACTGAAGCCTATCTTCTTTTATTGCAATCGTGCATATGTTCCTTATATGTTTGTATTACCTGTGCGGGCCATTGTTTTCCGTTCGTTTGTATTCTAACCAACAGTGCCTTTTGCGGTTAGCAAACGAAGAGTGCGGTTCTTGATGATTGTAGGTTGCTTGTAGATTTTGGGGACCGTTTGAGGAACTGGCTTCTTTGTAGCACATAACAGCATGTGCAGTAAGAAATCCCAATAAGCATCCACATCAAGTTTAGGGTGAGATTCCCAATACACCTATTGTAGATTGTTCTGTGAAGCTGACAAATTCAACCGTTTGAAATTCTAGCGCCAATTGTTGGTAGGATGTATTAGCTCAATTTTGCTGATAAAACTGAAGGCTATAACGGCTTGATCGCTTCCCCTCCAAGGGAGTTAGGATTGGGAGGAATTCTTTGTTTGTAAGTACCCAGTCTAGGCGAGACGGCGTCTGACTGTTTCTCCAGCGAGTTACCGACTGCACATTTTCGAATAATCGCAGATACTCAATGACGTTGAAGAACTGTACTTCAGTAGTTTTCACCTCTAATACACGTATGTTCCGTGAAATTGACTTTAGGGAGGTTTAAATGTAATGTAAATCATCTTACATCAGAATTTAGCATCTGAGAAAATGCGTGAATCTCATACAAAATGTTTTGTCGCAGCGCATACATATAATAGGCATGATGTTGTATTTCGATAAACAACCCGGAGGTTAAAAACATAACACAACTGTGTATACTTTGCAAATGAGGCTGGAGTTTGATGAAAATAACACAAGCTTTGGATTGTTTGGAAACGATCTATAAAATATTACGACTCTAGTTAACCCTCAACTACCACTAACAACAACTCGTATAAATGTTAATTGTTGTAGTCATTTGTCATCCGATTACGTTTTCATACATAATCCCTTTAATTTCCCAAGAGTTTTCCTGAAGTATATTGAATGAATAGGATTCTGACAGCATTACCCTAGCTTATCAAAGTTTAATAGTTATTTTGGCGGGATCTTCGGTGTTTGGATGAACTAATGATTCCTTTGTACTTGTTGAATGCTTGATTTCGAATTCTAAATACTGTACATTCGTTTGTGGTTATCTAGTGCCTCTTCATGCGATTACGTTATTTCTGGGATTCTAAGTTCATACTATAATTCTAAATACTGCTAATCATCATAGGATCCCAACAGATAAGGTTGATCAAATTAAACAGACATTGACTACTTTCTAAATACTTGTTAGATTGATCTCTAAAAAGCGAATTGCCAAGTTATGTACGCATATACTACAGGTAATTCCAGCGGCACATGATCAAATCAATGCTTAGAAATAACCTACTTTCTTCGTTTGAAGTTCATGAACAGCATGCTTGATTCACTTTCCGGATGATTACTCGTTCATGCACTTAGTTAAGGCGTTTATTCGGAAATGTTTTCAACGAAGTGATAAAAAATCGGCCTACAGTGAACCCAACAATGGTTAAATACCAAACACGGCAATTTACGTAAATTATAAAAACTGTCACAGCTACAATTTTTCTGGAACGTTAAGGCATTTAGACAGTTACTGATACTTGAGGAAGTTTGTAACTTAGAAAAAGATTATGAAGTCCTTTTATAAGTAGTAGCAATGGGTTTGCAGTTATCTACTTAAAAGTCAAATAAGAGCCTACGTTAAGAGCAATTTGGCGTTGATGAACATACACTATATTTAATCACACTGATGATGTCACAGGTATTCAGTGTTTGACAACGCTTCTACCAGTAACACCTTCTAAGATATTTCGTTCCCACCAAGAGAAATCAAAAGACAGAGTCGAGGAGATCGGAAGAGTATATTTGGCGATGACCAATATACCGGGATTCTCTGATCTAATCTGGCTAGCGATTGTGGTTGATGTTGAGCACGGCGTTACTACACGTGATCTGGTGCGGATGCCTGACCGAGCGCCTTCAGCTAGATGAGTCCACTAAAACATATGGTCAGCATCCAATGTCGAAAACTTACAGAGCTATTTATTTTAGGGATTTATTTACCGCTACAGATCACTCCCCCCCTAGTGGGGCAGTGACGACCCTAAGACGTGGCCAGCCAGAAGTTTAAACCCAACGAGTTTGTCGTTGGTAAACACTCTTCTGATAGCTTACTAAATTTAGCAGCGTCTGGTCGTCTTTCCTTACTATATGGGACGGAGGTACAACATAGTAAAAAAAGAAAATGTACAATGAAAATTTCGGATCCTCATAAACGTCATCGTTCTTTTCCAGCCGTCCTGGAAAAGAAAAAAGAAAATGTAAGTGCATGTCGAAATACACTCGTATATGCGTAAAAACACAAGGTCGGCGGAAAAAAAATGGAAAATAAACTCATGAGCACGTAATAGCGTTAAAAAAATTGTTTTTTTTTGTTTTTTTTTTAATAGAAATAAAAATATATAAGCATATTAAAATTGTTTTTTTTAAAAAAAAATAATATAAAATGTCGA